CTTGTCATTCCCAGGGACATCAGGAGGGGCTGCCCAAGTCTCTGTGGCTCTGTGAGCGTGAACACTTGGCTCGTACTCGCTGGGTCCAAGACCCGGAGTGGTGGGAGCTACTCAATGTGAGAAAGGATGCAGACGTATGAGCACCTGTCTGGGTGTGGGAGGGGCCATCAGAAAAAGGAGGGGGCGCAGGGAGCCCCGAGCGCCCGCTCAGGACCACCTGGGAACATCAGAGGCTGTGTTCTGGGAAAGCCGGCTCAGCTCACCTGCGAGGCAGCCCTGCTAATGATCCCCTGAGCCGGGGCCTTGCCAGCCTTGGGGCCTTCCAGTGTCAAATGTGAGAGGAGAAACGGCAGCTGAGCGGCCGCTCCACGGCAGAACAAACAGCTGGCGACAAACGTCTGTGTCATTGGAATGCCAGAAAGAATAAATTGCATCCATTTTTATGACCAGAGGGGAATCTGACGGTGGTTTCCCACCCACCCCCCCTTGTTTTCCCAGCATAGATGGACTCCGTGGGCTTTGAAAGCAAATGGCATTTAAAATCAGCAATGCGGCCCAGAGGATCGGGAAATGAGAAACCCCCCCTCCCACCCGCCAGCCCCACTTCCACGTGGGAGACAGGACAGGGGAGTGGGAGGAGACAGGCACCCCTCTCCCACTGGCCAGGCCACCTTGGGCAGGTTCGCCAGGCTCTCTGAGCCTCTGTCCCATTATCTGTGCGATGGAACAGCCCTGGTTCTGACTTGGAAGCGTTGGTGGGAGGAGTCAGTGAGGAGGAGTCAGGGAGGAGTCTCTAGAAGCGACTTTCAAATCGGTGGGAAATGCAGACTACAGGCATCCGCTCCCTGGGGCCTCCCTCGCTGTCCAGGCCTCTTCACTCAATGCCCACCCCAACCTGGTACCTGTGAGCTCACCAGCTATTTGTCACCAAGGTTCAAAGTACGCCGTCAATCTGCAAAGCCACTGCTGTTGTCATTACTACTCAATGGCTCCCAACGCCCCGGAAGGGGTGCCCTACATTGTAGGAAGTGGGTCCTGTACTATTCCACAGGTCCGGTGCTGCCCACCGGCCCAGGTGTGCAAGAGCCGTTCTGCCTTCTCTTCTTCCTCTCTCCGCTCCTCCTCCTCCTCCTCAGAAGCTCCCAGGAGTCAGAAACAGGAGCTGCAGAAGTGTGGCCTGGAGCCAGGGGCTTAGCATGCTTTATCTCCGGCTGCAGCCGGAGTCACGGCTCAACTCCCCAGAGCCCGTCCTGGCTCTCGGCTGGGTGGCCTCTGACACAGGCTCTGTACACCAGGGGCTTCCAGTGGGGGCTCTGAACCCTCCAAACCACACAGAGTGAGGCCCAGGAAAGGAGCACCCGCTGGTCGGCCAGGAAGGACCTAGACAGGCAGAAAGATGCACCTGCGCTCACCTGTTCCTAACGCAAGCCTGGAGGGCCAGGGCAGCTCATCAGACACCGAGCTCCACCTCCCCAGGAATGTGCTGAAGGAGGGTCAGCCAGCCTCCTGGGACACGTGAGCAGCTCAAGTCTCCCGAGTCCCAGTGGTGGTGGCCATGAGCGTCACAGCTGCCACAACAGACATCTGCCCTCGGTCCAGCAGCCTTTAGCCGCAGACCTTGGCTCCCCCAGCTCCTGCAAGCCTGCCTGGCAGGTGCATCCCCAGAGCTCCTCCTTCTGCCTCAGCCTTCTACCCCCAGTCAAGGCAATGGGTTGCCAGGATAGTGCTCAGTGTTGAAAACTTTGTCCCTACATTCATGTGTTAGTGGTGCCTGGGGGGCATTAGCATCAGGCATGGTCACGGAGGAATGAATGGCTTTATAGGAAGAGGAAGAAGGGTGTGAGCTGGCACCTTGCACCGTCTCGGCATGGGATGCCCTCTGCTGTGTCAGCATCAGTACGGAGGCCCTCACCAGTGCCAGAGCTGTGAGCCAGACAGACCTCTCTTCTTTGTACATCTCCCAGTCTGTGGGGTTCAGCTACAGCAACAGACAGCAGACTAGCATGGAGGATAACCATGAAGAAATCACACAGCCTGTCCAGAACGGCTTTATGAGTCTGGCTTTCACAACGGCAGACATGTGGAGGGGCAGCGCACTCCAACGTGGCCCATCTTGGGGGGGGGGGGGGGCAGGGACCAGAGAATAGGGAAGGCCGGGGCAGGCCCCTCATTTTCCAAGGGAGAACAGGGAGGGGCTGCAGTGGCCTGCAGTCAGAAGCGGGGGCCAAAGGGAAAGTGCCACTCCCACCACGCCATCCAGACTCGGACTGGACCCAAGCACCTGTTCCCGGGGCCTCCTCAAAGGCAACACCAGTGGCAAATGGCATAGAAGCCCCCTGCTAGTCCAGACCCACGAACAGGCTCTCCTGACCCAGGGAGGGCACGGCAGCCCCTAGGTGGAAGGTTCCTGTTCTCACACTCTCCCGTGAGATGGGATGGCTGAGCACACTGGGAGAGGCAGCGCCCGAGGGAGGGGGCAGTGAGAGCCCAGGGACCTGGAAGGAGAGATGCCTCTGGGGACACACGGGCTCCTGATATAGGGTGGAACCTGAGCGCCCAGGGCGCACCCCGTGGCCACTCTGGAAAAGGCCGTGGGGCCACATGCTGATGGTCCAGATACAGTTCCTGAGGGGGGGCGTGGCCTGGGGAGGGCTGGCATTAGGGACACTGATCCGCAGGCGGGTGAACAGGGCTCCCAAGACTGCCCACAGAGGCCGTGTGTTGCTGTGGACGGAATTTGTGAGACCACACAGGTCATCAGAGCACGGAGGGACCCTCAGGCCTGGCCCAGCCCCACCCAGGAGGGGACGGCGGGATGAGAAGTGGGGAGGGAGGATGCAAAGGAAAGAACTGTGTTCTCATCTTTCAGTGTCCATCTCGCCCCGAGGGTCCCCTCCCAGGCAATGTCCACGGCTCAGCAGGCTCCACGGCAGGAGCGAGTTCAGCACTCAGCCTGAGGGTGAGCACATGCACGCTCCTCGTGCGCCACTCCCGGGGGGGGGGGGGGCACTTCATCCTGCAGGGGGCTGTGTGCTGGCGTGCCCCTCCCCACCTACAGAGGACCAAACGGAGGCTCAAAGGGGTTACAAACTGGGTCCCAGACAACAGGACGGGCAGGTGACCAGCTGAGCCAGGGCTGGGCTTTCTGATGGCTCTTACCCAAAATCTGCCACCTCAGTCTCCCGACCCGTGCAATGGGCAGGCTGGACCAGACCCAGAGGAGTCTGCAAGGGGATTTCAGGGGAAGCCAAAGCTTAGCTCCACCTTCCTCTCCCCTACTCCCAGCCCCCGACTGTGTGCCCCAAATCCAGGAGCCAGGGCAGGGAGGCAGCCTCCATGGTCTGCCTTCAGTGGGTGAGAGAAGGGGGTAGGGAGGTGGCGGGCACCTGCCCCCGCTGCCCATCCACAGCCCGGACTGACGAGGACGGCTGAATGCCAGGGGGAGTTCACCGAGAGTTTACGAACCCCCTCTGTCGCAGCGCGCTGCATGGAGCCATCAATCACACCCTTAATTTACCCGTGTCACTCCCCAGAGGAAAGCGGCCCCAGCGCAGGCAGCGGCACTTCCTCCCTACCCTCTTGATGAGGATTTCGTCTAATTGGTCCGCGTTAAATCACTCCCAGGAATGCAAAGCACAATTACTGCAGCCGCCACTGCCGCCACTGCCAGCGCCAGGGCAGAGGCTGCTGGTGAGGCCGGGCCTGGCCCATCCCTGGCGTTGGCCTGGGGTCTGTGGAGGGGCTGGGGGGGTGGGGGTCGCTCTGGAAGCCTGCAGAGCCCATAGAGAGGCCTGCCTGAGGGCGTCTGGGGGAAGGGGAGGTCAGAGGGAGGGGGAAGAAAAGCCAGGGAGGAAGGAGGCTGCAGAGGGACAGCACAGAGGACAGCCGCATCACCTGCTCCCAGGTGGCCCTGGGAGCGTCCAGGGCAGGCATCTCCTCCCAGTCCCGGCCGGGCCCCCCGCCCACGCTGGGTCTGTTTCTCTCCAGCAAGGGCTACAGTGAGCCCAGACAGGAAATGCCCAAAGCATCAGCCACGCCCAACACCCTTCCTCCTGTACGCATTTCCCTAAACACACAGGGCTTGGGCAGGCTGTTCCTCGGCCTTGGATGCTGTTCCCTGCCCCATCCGCCTGGTGGCCTCCTAGCTGTTACGCTGGTCCCAGTTCAAACACCACTTCCGCTAAGATGCCCCTTTTCAGCTTGTCCTTTTTTTTTTTTTTTTTTTTTTTTGACAGGCAGAGTGGACAGTGAGAGAGAGAGACCTTTCTGTCTCTCTCTCTCACTGTCCACTCTGCCTGTCAAAAAAAAAAAAAAAAAAAAGAATCCAGCGCCCCGACCGGGACTAGAACCTGGAGTGCCGGCATCGCAAGGCGGAGGATTAGCCTATTGAGCCACGGCCTCGGCCTACTCTGTCCTTAATCTGCCTGGCCCACCCCGGCCCTCTGCACGGGCCACCCTGTCCCACCTTTGTCCACTCACGCGACGTTCCCTCTCAGCACCCTGTGAGCATGGGGCCCAGGACCACGCCTGTGCTCTCTATGCCCCGGTCTAGATCGCCTGTGTGAAGTCAGGGCTTAGAAACCCCCTCAAGAAGGGATGAGTGGACAGATGGACGGATGACAATCACCCGCCTTCGTGCGCAGCCTCGGAATGCGACTTCAGCCAAGTCACCTTCCCTGACCTGCTGAAGGGCTCTCCTAGACTGTGACCCTGCTCACTAGAGTCTCGTCCTGACGGGACATGTATCAGGGGCCACATGGGAAACAGCACTTTAAAGCATGCAACACCAGGAAGGGTTCCATTTAAGTGATGGGCAACCCAGGCCCAGAGACCCTGATGACTGTCCAAGGTCAGCCAGCAGCTCTATTACCAGGGCAGCGTCCCATCGACAACCCCAGGGAAGAGGAGACCTGTGTCCCCTGGGAACCCTGCGCACAGGCAGGGCTCCCGCCAGTGCCCAGCCCTGCCTCCCCCGTGCAGCCCCAGTGGCCAGTGAGTACCTTGCGCTTCTTGGCACGCCCCTCGGCCTGCAGGGTGCGGGTGCAGCGCTGCACGCACTCGGAGAAGCTGAGGTTGCTGTGGTCTGCGCTGTAGTCCAGGTCAGCCAGCCGCGCCAGGGACAGGATGTAGTTACAGGCAATCCTCAGGATGGCCAGCTTAGACAGCTTCTGCCCATACGAGTAGCACGGCACCTGTGGAGCACGGGAGAAGGTGTTAGCAAGGCTGCAGGGACTTCTTTTTTTTATTTTTTGACAGGCAGAGTGGACAGTGAGAGAGAGAGAGACAGAGAGAAAGGTCTTCCTTTACTGTTGGTTCACCCTCCAATGGCCGCCGCGGCCGGCACTCTGCAGCCGGCGCACCACGCTGATCCGAAGCTGGGAGCCAGGTGCTTCTCCTGGTCTCCCATGGGGTGCAGGGCCCAAGCACTTGGGCCCTGCTCCACTGCACTCCCTGGCCGCAGCAGAGAGCTGGCCTGGAAGAGGGGCAACCGGGACAGAATCTGGCGCCCCGACCGGCATTAGAACCCGGTGTGCCGGCGCCGTAAGGCGGAGGATTAGCCTAGTGAGCCGAGGCGCTGGCCTGCAGGGACTTCTGCGCAGTGCATCCCTCGGCCCGGCAGGGGTCGGGGGCGGGGCTAGGGTGTTTCACCTAGTTTTATTACCTGTGCTAAGCACCATCTGTTTACACAGAAACATCTCTGATGTTTCATTCATTCATTCAGTGACCCTCGCTTTGCTGGGCACTTGGGGATTCAATGATTTAAAAATCTGATTCCCAGGATGGGCATTTAGCCTAGCAATTGAGACACTGGTTAAGCTGCCTACGTCCCACACCAAGTACCTGGGTTCAATTCCTGACTCCAGCTTCCTGCTAACACAGACCCTGGGAGGTCAAGGATCACTAGGCTAATCCTCTGCCTGCGGCACCGGCACTCCGGGTTCTAGTCCCGGTCGGGGCTCTGGATTCTGTCCCGGTTGCCCTTCTTCCAGTCCAGCTCAAGAGGTTGGCTCCCTGCCACCCACACAGGAGACCTGGACCAAGTTCCTAGCTCCTGGCTTTGCCCCCTGCACCTCCCCCCCACCTGGTCTTGGGGAACAAACCAGCAGATGGGAGTTCGACCTCCTGCCTTCAGAGAATTCACACTCGGGTGCTGTTATAATGTTATAACAGGGGCAGGTGTTCGGCATAGACTGGGATACTCCCATCTCATATCAGAGTGCCTACTTCAAGGCCTGGCCACTTGGCTTCTGGTGCAGCTCCCCAGAAATGTGCATCCTGTGAGGTAGCAGGTGATGGCTCAAGGGCTTGGGCCCCTGTCCCCCATGTGGAAGACCTGAGTTGAGTTCCTGGCTCCTGGCTTCAGCCTGACCCACCCCCGGCTGTTGCAAGCATTTGGGAGTGGACTAGCATATGGGAGCTGCCCGTACAGGCCCTCGAAAGGGTTTATAGGACAAGGGAATCAGGATGAGCACACGCGCGCCCTCTGAGTCCACCAGGTGACCCCAGCATGCACTCTGAACTGAGTTCAAACACCTTCACTCTCTGAGGATGGAGACCCAGCTGCCCGGCACACAGCCCAAGTGCACGTGCCCTTCTGTCACCCGCGTTCAGCTCCTGGCTCTCGTCCCGCCCTGCTGTCAGCCCAAGGTCATCCTGGGCCTCGGTGTCCTCGCCCTACCGCGAACAGAGCAGTGAGGATTCAACGAGAGGACCCGTGTGCTGCACAGAATAAGCAAAGCCTACCAGAGCTCAGGGAGTCCCCACCCTCGGTGTAGCAGAGGGTCCCCACGCAAGTTCCGGAGCCGGGACACAGACCCCAGGGGTCCTGAAATTCAGAGACCCAGAGAGGGAGAGGAGGCCACCCAGAGAACGCCAGCTCCCTTTCAAGCACGCGCCGCCTCCTCCCACTCCCAGTCCTGGCCGCAGCTCCAACTCCTTGTGAGAAGAGTGGGCAGGACAGTGTGCCTTGCTTGATCCCAGGCACGGTCCAGCGAATCCTGCTTTATCAGCCTGAACAAACAAACAAGGGGCCAGCCTAGCGCCTCTGCCTGCTCTTCACCCCAGGGAGGTCCTGGGGCCTGGGCCCAGCCTTGTGACAAAGCCCAGAGCCTCCCTGTCCCCCAGAGGGAGCCCTGGAATAGCTAACCTTCCAGCAGGGTGTGGGGCTCTCAGGAGGGCTCAGCATGGGGCAGTCCTGGGACCCAGCACCGCTGGGCAACTACAGAGCAACAGATGAGGACAAAGGTGACCCATGGGTGCCCACGCCAGGTTCTGGGGCATTTTCATCCCAGACGTGTCCCTGCATCCCCTCGTGACTTCTGTCAAACGCCAGGTCTCCAAGAAAACCACACGTGGCATTCCCATGCATGGGGCGCTGCGGTGCCTACCCACGCGCCCATCTGCGCTGGGGGAAGCAGAGGGCTGACATCCTGGGCCACAGGGCCTGTGTGGCTTGGGCCCTCCATGCCCGAGGGGCCCAGGCAGAGGATGGACATGCCAATAACAGAGTCTGCTTCCATCTTCGAGGCAGCCTGGTGCAGTAGGCAGTAGGATTGATCACTTCTTTTTTTTTTTTTTTTTGGACAGGCAGAGTGGACAGTGAGAGAGAGAGACAGAGAGAAAGGTCTTCCTTTGCCATTTGTTCACCCTCCAATGGCCGCCGCGGCCAGCGGGCTGTGGCCGGCGCACCACGCTGATCTGATGGCAGGAGCCAGGTGCTTCTCCTGGTCTCCCAAGGGGTGCAGGGCCCAAGCACTTGGGCCATCCTCCACTGCACTCCCTGGCCACAGCAGAGAGCTGGCCTGGAAGAGGGGCAACCGGGACAGAATCTGGCACCCCTACCGGGACTAGAACCCGGTGTGCCGGCGCCACAAGGCGGAGGATTAGCCTGGTGAGCCACGACGCCGGCGATCGATCACTTCTATTGCACAGAGACAATCTTCGCTCCTGCCCCCAGCACGTAGGAATTTCATGTCTCCCAGCCGCTGAGACACAGGTGGGTTTTGAACCCGTGCCTGAGCTGGACTCTTGCCCGTTAGCCAGCAGGAGCGGCTTCAGGATTCGATCCTCTGTAGTCCAGGGTAGCCAGCCAGCCTATCCTGAGCTGTGGGTGGAGCCCCTCATTGAGATCCCAGTGCATTACTTCTTTAAGCATCGCCACCAAGACCCAGATCCTGCCCCTCCCCCAACAGCCACCTGTTCCCCCTGAGGTCCGAGGAGACAGGCCAGAGGAGGAGGCAGGAGCACCTGGTCCCCACTCCCTACCGTCAGACCACCCGGCTTCCAAGAAGGGAATAAGGGCCTGCCTCTGCTCACCCAATGATTTCTAAACTTCAAAGGGGCAGCCTTTGGCATTTTTCAAACATCCCAGGTGCTCCCCCAAACAGTGCTTCCCACCTACCCCGAGCTGGACCGTCGCCTGACCCCAGCATGCAGGGAAAAGCAGAGGAAGGGGACTGGCCTGGGAGCCTGAGGGCCTGGCTCTCCCGTTGGCCAACCCCGTAGCCAGGGGCGGGTCCCCAGCCCTACAGAGTACCTGGGCGCTCAGGATGAGGTCGCAGTGGGCAGATGTGGGGAGATGCCAGGGAGAGACAAAGCCAAAAGCCAGCCAGGGCCTGCAGGCATGGCCTCGAGGCCCTCTGCCCTCCTGCTTCTGCACCGCCTCCTGCCCGCTCTTCAGATCCCATCCAAGACACCCTCCCAGAAGCCCGCCGGGAGCCCTGGGTCTGTCCAGCTGCAGCAGCAACTATCCACTGCACCCATCTGGGTGCTGGCCCCCATCTGGGCCCACTCTCCAGCCACCTGGGAGGCTGAGCCGATCGGGCAGGGCAGGGCAGAGCAGGGCAGGGAAGGGCAAGGTCCCTCAGAGGTCACTTTAAATGCATCCTTTCACCTCGGAGCCACCAGCACAGCCCCGGGGCTGGACGCTGGGAGTCTGGGTCTTGGCAGTTAGGAGCTATGGCCCCAGGGCCAGCCAGACAGTCCCAGGGACAGAGCCTGGTCACGCTGTGACCTCTGTGGGATGAGCTTCCCCTTCTGTAAATGTTCTCATCTGTAAAAGGGGAGACAGCACTTCAGATCTCAACAGGCCCAGGAAAGGGAGCGGCACCATGAGGCTCAACAGGGGCCCCTCCGGCATGCGCCCCTGCCTGTGGGGAGCCCCCGGTGCCAACAGGCCTGCCCCCCATCGCTGGAGGAGGTCCCCCGTGTCTCCCTTCTGCACATGGGATTTGAGAGAGAGGGAGCTCCGGAGCTGGGGGCACCATCTCCGTGTCCTCCCCTGGGTACCGGATTTTGCTTAGTGAGGACCCCCAGGAGACTGCAGGGACAGCAGGGGAGGTGGCCTGGGCCTTCACGGGGGAGACGCCCCAGCCACCTCCCGTGGCTGCCATTCCTCCATCCCCAAGGCAGGGCTTGGCCAGGGACCCCGAGGTGGGCCCAGCTCGCCAGCAGAAAGGCCCTGCCGGAGGCCAAGGCCCCCAGCCCCTCCCAGCATCCCCTCCCTCCCACAGCAAGGCTAGCCTTTCCCTTGGACCCCTCCCAGCCGGCAGGGAGCAGTGTTGAAGACAGGCCAGGCCCAGCTGTGCACACATGGCCGTCCCCTGGGGCTGCAGGGAGGGGGCTCTGGTGCAGCTGGGCTGGTGGCATGTGCTACAGCCCGACCATCTGCCCTGGCCGGTCCCTACCCCTAGACCAGAGGGCCTCTCCCTCCACCTGCAGCAGCCTCGCTCCGCCCTCCCCTGCTCTCCTCCCAGTGGAGAAGATGGTGGATTATGGCCCAACAGGAGCCTGTCTGGCTTCCTCGTGCTCAGGGCCTTAGGCAGGCTGAAGCACAGAGCTGTTAAGGACCCCAGGCACTGAAGCAACTCATTAGCCCTGATTCAAATCCAGGCTGTGCAGTGACAGTGGCACGCAGCTATGCAGGCTGCGACCAGACAGAGCCACGGAGAACCCACCACGCTGCAGCCCAGTGAACGGCATGGCAAAGTGGTGTACCACACAGGACCTGTGAGGCCATGTCCATTGCAAAGAGCCGCACGACCTCAGCCAACGTCGACAAGCTCTCTGGACCTCAGTGTCACCACCTGTGAAATGGGGCGGGACGGGGACAGGATAACGGCACCTATGACACCAGATGAACCAGTACACATAGCGGGCTTGTATCAGTGCCTGGCACACAGCGGCCGCGGTTGTGGTTAAGCCGCTGCCTGCAACGCTGGCATCCTGTATCAGAGTGCATTGGAGTCCCGGCTGCTCTGCCTCTGATCTAGCTTCCTGCTAAGGTGCCTGGGAAGGAGTGGAAGATGGCCCAAATACATGGACCCTCGCCACCCATGGGGGAGATCAGGATGGAGTTCCTGGCTCCTGGCCCAGTCCTGTGCTGCAGTCATTTGGGGAGTGAACCAATGGATGGAAAATCTTTCTCTATCTCTCCCTCTCGCTTAGCCTTTGAAATAAATGAATGAATGAATCTTTAGAAGAAAACAAAGACGTGGTACTGCTACATCTGTTGAAGCCTTGCCCAGCTCTGAGCGCCCTAGGATGCTTTTAAGAGATGCTCGTTTCTTCCTCCACGTGCTCTTTGCAAAGAAGAGGGAAGGAGGACAGCAGTGGCATCATGTCACAGCTTTAGCACCTGAGGCCCAGAGAGGGAGAGTGACTTGTCCACAGCCGCACAGAGAGCATGTGGTGGGAACACGACTCAAAGCCCAGTCCCTGAACACCCGGGCCAGTGCTCTTCCCACCCCACCCCATACTAGGAAGCTGCTTAGGAGACCAAAGCCCCAGACCCAACCCCAGCACTAACCTCGGGGCCACCAAGGTCCCAGATCGGGCAAAGCCACCCTCCCACCTCTCCTGTCCCGAGAGCCCGTTTCTAACAGGCAGGCCTGAGTCCAGCTCCAGAGCTGCAGCCCATCTGTGCATCACGCAGGCGGGAGACTGCGGTGCAGGGGAAGAAGGCACCGCACTGGGACATGGGGTCTCCTCCATGATACGGGTGCCGCGTGGTGGGACACAGCGGGCACGGCCTTGGCCTTGGCTGTGCGACCAGAAGTGCACTGGCTCTATTTCCTTCCTTCTGAGACAATAGGCAGGTGTGCACTCTGGCCTTGCAGCCTTTCCCGGGGAGGGACAGGAAGAGTGGGCGATGAGGAAGCGAACAGGAACAGGCACTCTGTGACCGGGTACTTCTGTGTGCTGGCGGGCACACGCAGGGGTGTGTGCACCTGTCTCCCTCTGAGCTTTCTGCTTAGACACACAGACAGCACTGTGGGATAGTTGGTCAGCAGACATTCTAGGGACCACTGCCATCTTCCCTAACCTGCCAGGTGCTCTTGGACCAGTCTCCCTCCTTCTGCGGCCTCAGGTTTCCATTCCGTGAAATGGGTGAGTCCAACCCTGACTGGGGTGTCGTTAAGGTCAGGGAAGACCGGATGTCTCGTGGGCAGAAGTACAAGCCCCCGGACCCCGAGCCGTAACCAAGCACCCCTGCCAGGAGTATTTTCTCCCTTGGAACTGAAAGCAGCAGCTGGAGGGGCAGACGGGCCCTGAACCGGCAGCAAAAGGACCTGGGCGCCAGCCCTGCCCGTGACTCACCAGCTGGGAGGCCCTGGCACGTGGCTCCCAGTCTGGAAGGGACTCCCTTAGGTGCAAGGTGAGCAGGTGGACGGGTAGTTCTCTGCCCTCTGTCACCTTCCGGCTCACCGAGTGGGCTGCAGGACGCCCCGCGGGCTGCAGTCCCTCCCCAGACACTCACACACAGAGCTGCTGGCCGGGGCTGGGCTGACTGCTCCACTGGACCTCCTGCCCAGGGCACAGCTGGTGCGGCTGCAGGCACTGCCCCACCCCCACTCAAGAGACACACTTTGGCTCAAAAGCTGCATAGTTTCTCTCCCCCAGGGGTTCAGCAGACACAGGCACAGCTACCCCCATGCTACTCCTGGAGAAAGAGAAGAGTAGGATTTAGAAAGGTCACATATTCCGAAATGTGTTGCTGGCTAAAGCCCAGAGTGGTTGAGTAACTTTCCTGGAGTCACAGAGCAAGTCAGTCACACATAGGGGAAAGAAAAAAAAAAAAAAAAAAAAACCTTACTCCTCAAACCAGAAGCATCCACCCCCAACCCTTCTCCATTCCCTGTGTGGGATGGGGTGGGGGTGGGGCACTTGCCAGTCCCTTTCTAGAAGCCAGAAGCACAGGGTGCTGCTGAGCTGTAGTGTTGTGCCCTGCCTCGCCCCACCATGAGCAAGTCTTGGGTTAAGTGTTTCTCCACACCCCCACCACGGGGCGCTGTCTGGTGGGGCAGTCCACACCAACCCACACAGCGAGCGCCCCATCCTGCACCCCCTCCCTAGGGAATCCCGCAGCTAAGGGCCTCTCTCAGCAGACTCCCACCAGCCAACGCCTGACGCCGCCCCTGGGGAGGGGGCGCGCTTGCAGCCAGGACCTGAAGAACGCCAAGGCGAGGGGTGCAGAGGCCAGCAGCAGCCTGAGCGAGCGCGCCAGGTACGCCTGCTGGGAGCCGGGGATGAAGATGGGCTCACGGGCTCCCCCTTCCTCCACGTTCGCCCTCGTCGAGACCCTCACACTCAAGCAGCCCCAAGATCGCTCCTTCGCGGTGTTCTGGGCCTCGCCAGCACCAACGGGGCGTTAAGACCCTTTACCCACACCAAATACTCCCAAGGGAAAGAGTGTCCCTCCCCGCTCCCGGGACAGAGTTCCACATTTCCCTCCCCACGCCCCCACGGCGCCCTGGGGACTTCAGGAAACAAATATTCGCGGCCATAAAAATGAACGCCGAGGCTGGAGTCTGACGCGCAGTCAGGCTTATATCCCGGGGTGCCGGCGCGGACCCGGCCCGGAGAGCTCCAACCCTCACCTCCACTTTGCAAGCTCAGATTCGTGCCAGCGCTGCGGCAGAGGTCGCGGCCCCACGACTGCCCAATCCCGTGTGGGCCCCGCGGTCGGACCGTGCGGCGACAGCTTGCTCCTCAAACGCACCCCTGCCCTGGCAGCTGTGCCGGGTCACCCAGCCACCCACCCGGCCGCACGCCCCCAGGCGCGGGGAGCGGGACGCGGGGCGCAGGTACCTGCTTCCTGAGCGCCTCGAAGGCTGCGCTGATGGTGTGCACCCGCGTCCGCTCCCTGGCGTTCGCCAGGAGCCTCCGGGTCTGCTGTAGGGCTTTGATCTCCGAGGAGGCGGCGGTCGCCTCGCCCGGCCGTTTCCTAGGCGACGCGGAGGAATCCGGGTGGTTATTGTAAATTACGTGTGAAATTGACGAGTAGGAACTTTCCCCCGGGCGCGTGGGGAGCGCGGGGCGCACCGAGGGCTCCGGGGGCGCGGGGGGCGCGGCTGGCGCCGGGCGTGCGGGCGGTGCGCACAGCAAGATGCGGGGACGCAGGCCGGGCTCGCGGAACGACGGTGCCTCGGGACCTCCAGGTGCCTGGCCCAGGGGCGCTGGAGGCGGCGGCGGCGGCGGCGTGGGGAGTCCCGGACCCACTGCGCCCAGGGCGAAGCCGCGTTTCCGTGCGTCCGAGACCTCCGGCGCCCCGGCGCCCCTGCGCTCCCCAGCTGTGTCCGCGCTCCCACCTGGGAGAACGGCCGGCGCCACGGCGGCTGGCACAGGGGCCAGGACGGGGACGGGCTGCAGCCGCTGGGTCCTGTCCCGCAGCCCGTTGGTGGCGGTGGCGGCGGCGGCGGCGGGCTCGGGCGCTTCCAAGTCCAATCGGAAAGTTTTATAGCCGTTCGCGCGCCGCGCCGGCTCCTTGCCCTTGCGCTTGAGCTTCTTGAGGCCGTTCAGCTCCTTCACGCACACGGTCTTCCACGGCCCGTCCTCGAGGACCGGGATGTGCTTCATGGCGCGGACAGCGCGCGGGCCGGGGGGGCGTGGGGACGCGGGACGCGCGCCGGCTGCACCCGCTCTGCACGCCGCGCGCCGGCTCTGCCCGGGCCGCCGCCGCGCGCAGCGCCGCCGAGTCTCGGGCGCTCCCCCTCCGCCCGCCCGCGCTCCCGCCCGCGCGCCCTCTCCCCCTCGCCCGGGGCAGCTGCGCCGCCGGCTCGGCGTGGCCGCGGGGCCGTCCGCTCCCGGAGCGCTCAGAGTGTCATCTGAAGTCGCTGCCGCCGCGCCAGCACTGCTGGAGAACGCCCGCTGCGCTCCATCTGTGTTTGTTTAGCCTCAGTTTACACAGAAGCCCGGTTCGCGAGATCAGTCAGCGCCGCCGCCCGGAGAGGAGGCAGCTCCTGCAGCCGTCGCCTCCCCAGCCCCAGCCGCCCGAGCCGCGAGCGCCTTTAAAGAAACAGGAAGCATTTTTCAAAACAGCTGGGCCGCCGGCCGCCTCCTTTGTCCGCGTGCTCTCCACCTCCCGGCCAGCCCCCTCCCGTCGGCGCGGAACCTGCCTCCTCGGGACCCCCGCCCCGCCCCTGCTCGGATGGGGGCGCGCTGCTCCCTGCCCTGCGCCTGGGCGCGTGGCCCTCTGCGCTGCGCCCTTCCGCACAGCCCCGCGGGGCCTGCCCTGCTGCAGCTTCTTGGGGACACAGCGCCCACCTTGCCCTCTGCCCGCCCGCTGCGGCTTGTCCCGTTCGGGCGGACCGAGAAGGGTCAGCGACCCAGTAAGCGCTCTCACTTGCTGGAACAAGGAAGCCAGGAGTATTTGAGAGAGTTTAGGCCCTAGGGAAACTGAGGCTGCACACGCTTTTCCCGAGCAGCAACAGAGGATGGAAGGTTGGGATTCGCACACTGCCCTGGCGCCTGGGAGAATCTGAAGCCCTCTCACCCCAGGCCCCTATGAATGAGAAATTCAGGGGACATCAACGCCCGAGTCCCAGCGATGCCCAAAGGAATCCTGGCACCAGGCACGTGGGAGGTGGTGTTTGTGAGTATGAATGAAGTACTAACCGAGGCAGAATCCCTGGGTGCACTTGCTGGGTGATCTCCGGAACTCATCCCTTAACCTCAGCGTGCCTCCATCCCCTCATGGTGCACAGGGGCTCCTGGTCTTGTCTTCCACCTGAGGGTTGGGAGAGCAGAACCTGGCTCAGAGAGAGATCTGCAGGTGCTGGCCCCTGGTACTCCCCAGGTCTCCAGTCCTCTGTGCCTCTCCACTCTGACAGGCAGAAGTCAGACTAAGAGCCCTGGCACACAGGCCACCTCCACACGTCTGCCCCCCCCCCCCGGGACAGCTGGGGAGTTCTCTCACCTCTGACCCTCTCACCGTGGCTGTACCTCCTGCGTACCCAGAAGATGGTCCCTTGACCCTGGCCTTGAGCTCTAGTAAAAGTGCAAGGGCTCACGCCCAGCCTGGAGAGTGACCTGCAGCATGTGGGGGTCTGGGAGGTGGGCTGAGAGTCTGGGCCCGAGGTCCAGGGACAAGCACCCAGCGCTGTTGGGCCTCAGCTTTTCTACTGCGATGGTGAACAGGGCCTGTCGTCCCATGGGAGCCCTGTTTCTGCCTTGGAGGATGATATCCCTGGCTAGCCAACGTCTCCGGGAAAACAAAAGGAGGTCATAAATGGAAAATGACGTTGACGTAGGCTTGAAACACAGACACACACACACACACGCACACACACACACAGTGCGCACGCATGCACGGCGCATGCTGAGAAGTGATTTGCTGACTACAGTGAATCCTCTGAGATGGTTCCCCAGACACCCCCTTCCCTGCTCACCTGGCTCTGCCTGCACCTCACCTCTGTTCTGAAGACCAAGGGCGTGCCCCCTGCTTCCCCTGTGGCTTCCTCATCCAGCCCTGGTCCCTAACACGTGGCCTTTGCTCCTGGCCGAGTATGCCCCTCCTCTCATGTCCACCTCCAGTTCCCCCTCCTCTCAGAAGCCCTTGCTGATCGCCCCAGCCTGCCGTGGCTCCTGCTTGCTTCTGCCGCCCCGGCAAGCCAGCTACACCCTCCGGATTGGTGAGTACCTGAAATGCCTGCTGCCCAGGAAATGTTTGCTGAAGCACACCAACCCTTGTGCCCTCTCCATCGCTCTGTCTGGAGCCCCGACCCAGCGCATCTTGCCAGGCAGTGGCAGAGATGGAGCAAAGCTGCAGGGCTCCGGCTCTTTCTGGACCTCGCTTTCCTGTATGAAGCAGAGACGATAACAGCGCACCGTGCCTCAGGCAGACATAAGGGTGGCCTTGGGCCTCCTGTGTCAGCCCGGACCCCGGGACCTGCCCCCAGACTCCAAGTGCAAGTGCAGGCGGTGTTGCTGTGGCCAGGTGGGCTGTGTGAGAAGTTTCTGGCAGGGCTGTGTCAGCCCTAAACAGACCAGGAAGAATCGCTCGTCTTGGTTCAGTAGTGAGCCCCACTCGCACTGGTCCTGAGGCCCTTCCCAAGCCCTTCGAATAGAGCAGCAGGTCCCTGAGGGTGGAGGAGGGGATAGGGTGGGTGGGAAGTCAGCTGCCTTGGGTGCACGTGGAGCTGGGCTCCGGGCTCCAGGCTCCACCTGCGCCCTCGCTGCCTCTCTCCCTGGTTGAATGCACCGGCGGGCGGGCCTCGGAGGAGCCGCGGCTTTGCGCAGCCCGGTCACCTCTCTGAGCCTGGGTTCATTACCACGTAACATCCTGTTCATGTTAGACGGACCTGTGTGTGAGGCAAACGGTAAAAAGTCCAGCTGCTATGAAGGGTCCCTGCTGTCTCCAGTCACAGCCTGGCAGGACGCAGACCTTCAAGGCCCCGGCCAGCTGGCCCGCACCCCCCTACACTGGGCATTAAATCTGTTCCCCAGCAGGGATCTTAGCTCTGCCCTCTCTCAGCCTCCTTGAGATGCAGGGCAAAGACCAGCTAGGCAGCGCCCCCTGGTGGTAGAACACTGCCAGGACTGCACACAGTGCAGTTTCCCGGCTAGGAACTTGATGCTGGTTTGGGACCCTGGAGTGATGGCCCTGGGATGACAGTAAAATGGGTGTCACACATCCATAGAGCTGTCAATAAAAAAGCTCGCAGGGTGCTCCGCCCCTTGATGGGATGACACAGACACCCCAAGAAAATCTCTGCCCTTTGTCAAAAACATCCCACACTGGGCCGGCGCCGCGGCTCACTAGGCTAATCCTCCGCCTTGCAGCGCCGGCACACCGGGTTCTAGTCCCAGTCGGGGCGCTGGATTCTGTCCCGGTTGCCCCTCTTCCAGGCCAGCTCTCTGCTGTGGCCAGGGAGTGCAGTGGAGGATGGCCCAACTGCTTGGGCCCTGCACCCCATGGGAGACCAGGAGAAGTACCTGGCTCCTGCCATCGGATCAGCGCGGTGCGCCGGCTGCAGCGCACCAGCCGCGGCGGCCACTGGAGGGTGAACCAACGGCAAAAGGAAGACCTTTCTCTCTGTCTCTCTCTCTCTCACTGTCCCCTCTGCCTGTCAAAAATAAAAAAAAATAAAAAAAAATCCCACACTGAACTTTTTTTTTCACTTTTAAAAGTATATTTTATAATGGAAAAAGCAATATATACATACTTTTTAAAAGTTCAACAGTACTGATATACAATGAAAATTAAGTGTTTTTTTCCTTCCAGACTCTCTTCCTCTGAATCCCCATCCACAGAATTTCAGATCTTAAACCTGGTATATTTAATGGTTACATTTAATTGCAATGGCATGTTTCTTTCCAGTTCATTATAAAAAATAGTATACATAAAAATGGTATTTACACTAACCTATATAAAGAGCTTCTTAAAGTAGATAATAGGTATAAATGATTAATTTGTAGCTCAAATAATGTATTGCCTCATGGCTACTTTTTATGTTTTCACAAATTAAAATTTTTTTTAAATTTATTTTGGAATCAGAGGCAGAGAGAGAAAGAGAAAAAGAGAGACACAGACAGACACAAAGAGAGCACCCATTCACTGTTTCACTCACCAGATACCTGCAATGGTTAGGGCTGGGCCAGGGCCAAAGCCAGGACCCAGAAATGTGCCCCCGACTCTCACGGGAGATAGGAACTCAATTACTTGAGCCACAACTGCTGCCTCCCAAGGTCGGCAGTGGGGAGAAGCTGGAGTAAATACCTAGAGCCAGGAATGGAAAACAGGCACTCCAAGGTGGAAAGCAGACACCTGAATTGTTAGGCTAACTGCCTGCTCCTGTTTTCACAAATTATTTCTTTTTTTTTCAGATTTTTTAATTTAGTAAATATAAATTTCCAAAGTACAGTTTATGGATTACATTGGCTTTCCCCCCCATAATTTCCCTCCCACTCACACCCCTCCCATCTCCCGCTCCCTCTCCCATTCCATTCACATCAAGATTCATTTTCAATTCTCTTTATATACAGAAGATCGATTCAGTATGTATTAAGTAAAGATTTCATCAGTTTGCACCCACACAGAAACACAAAGTGTAAAATACTATTTCAGTACTAGTTATAGCATTACTTCACATTGGACAACACATTAAGGACAGATCCCACATAAGAAGTACACAGTGACTCCTGTTGTTGACTTAACAATTTGACACTCTTGTTTATGGCGTCAGTAATCTCCCTGGGCTCTAGTCATGAGTTGCCAAGGCTATGGAAGCCTTTTGAGTTTGCCAACTTCGATCTTATTCCGACAGGATCATAGTCAAAAGTGGAAGTTCTCTCCTCGCTTCAGAGAAAGGTACCTCCTTCTTTGATGGCCCCGTTTTTTTTTTTTTCCAGAGTGTCTTGGCTTTCCATGCCTAAAATACTCTCATGGGCTCTTCAGCCATATCCGAATGCCTTAAGGGCTGATTCTGAGGCCAGAGCCACACTGAACTTTGAGTCAGTTTGATGCCAACACGTTGGCATCACATAATAGTGTCACTGGTACGTTCCCTATCCCCTGGATGTCTGGTTCAGGGAACAGGGGTGAAGCTGGAAAGGAAAGGAACAGAAGAGCTTCAGGCTTAGGGCTTCGGCCACCAGGAGTGGATGCTAGAAATCCAGGCAGCGATAACAACCCCACAGGGAATGATTGCAGGGTCTGTCCCATTAATACTTACACCAGCCCAGGGAACAGAACCCCTCTGACAATGAACAAAACCAAGGCTCCCAGAGGGGGAGAATAAACCTGCCAATGGAAAACGAGGCCAGCTAACCCCCAGACCCAAGCTTTGAACCATTGTGCTTCACTGCCTCCTGAAAGCACAGTGAGGGGCATCCGGGGAGATGAGTAACTGGGCCACCTATGGACCCCCCTTTTTGACAGCTGGCTCCCCTGCATGCACTGCCAGCCTGGGTGGTGCACTTCCTGCTGTCCCACACTCAGCTGAAGCCACTGGCTTCCCCGGTGCCCCTCTGGCTCCGTCCAGGTCAAGGTCAGATAGTAGGGGCATCACCTTGGACATTCAGGATTCCCGGGCACGTGACCCCCAG